AACTTGGGCAGTGTGGCTTGAGCTCTTGGAAGTGAAGACTGAGGCAAAGAACTCCTTAAGTACCTCAGCCTTCTCTACATCCTGGGTCACCAGGTCTCCTGGTTTCTTCCAGAGGGGGCCCACATTTTCCCTAGTCCTCCTTTTATCGCTGACATACCTACAGAAGTTCTTCCTGTTACCCTTAACGTCCTTGGCCATATTTAATTCTGTTAGGGCTTTAGCTTTCCTAACTTGATCTCTGGCTTCATGGACAGTGTCTCTGTATTGTCCCCAGGCTACCTGTCCTTGCTTCCACCCTCTGTATGCTTCCTTTTTTTGTTTGAGTTTGCTCAGGAGTTCCTTGCTATCAGGTGACAGAGTAGGGGCAGAAAGAAGACAACAGCCTTTGCTTTTGAGAAGCCTCAACCTATTCTATCTCTTACCATCTCATACTTGTAGGTCGTCCTCTGAAACATACTCTTAGTCCTCTGGATGTAGAGAAGGATGTTGGCAAAGACACGGATGGCATCCTGGTAACGCCGCATCATCAGGTATGCGAAGCCCACGTAGTAATACGTGGTCACCTGGCACTCAGGCACCCGGGAGTACATGCTCTGAGAAGGAAGGATCAACCGGGTGTGTTAAGAGTGGAGACAACCACCTTTGATCCAAACAGCTCATTACCCAGAATCCAGCCACCGCTGCCTTCAGCCTGTTCAGCTAGCTACCGTTGTTCTACCAATTCCAGTTCAAACAATATTCTCTGTAACAATGCTGCCTTGCACAACACAGCAAACTTCTTAAAAAAATAGACATTTGTGCTGCAACAGCATCAGGCATTATCATATGGCTTCATTTAATGCCAAAGCTCCAGCTGTGTGTTCAACCAGGCACTTCTTTCAGCTAATCCTATAAACAAACTCCTGACAACTACAACAGCTACAAACAGTTTCTGAGATGGAAGACTCATTATGGCAATCTTTCACCGGCATGTTTGAATAGTGGCATTTGGAAAACTGCAATGGAGGGTTTAAAACATGTCATATTACCTTCTTGTTAAGCTCGATGTTCTCCAGAACCTTGATCGCTTGGTAGTAATCCCCAAGCAGAGAGTGCAGACGCAGCAGCCCAACCAGGCTGAAATAGCCCAGCATCTTGTAGAGGGAGTGGCGACCGTACTCACCAGCCACACTTTCGGGATCACCTAGAAAAAAAGGAACCGTGATGCTTTCCTCCAAAGGAGCAAGCTCCACTTTCAACACCCCCACGTTTACAGGCAAACTTCAACTGCAACCATTGACATTTCTCACATAAGGCCAACAGAACCTGTTCCCAGTCAATCCATCCGCTGATCGGGGGTTTGATCCAGCTCCCAAACAAAGCCAAGAGAGCTCAGCCAAATCAAAGCAAGGCAGCAGACACCACTCTTGACTGGCCTCGCTCAGCTAACATACCTCCACTTGTATAGACCTCTAGCTGTCGGTTGATGTTGGATTTGTCTACCAGAGAGTGCAATACATTAAGGACACTATGAACGTTCCAGATCTTGGGGTTGGAACGAAGGAAATCAATTTCCTCTTCAGACTTCTTGGCTGTCTTGCAGCGGTACTGGCTGAAAGACTGGAACTACAGGAAAAAACAGAGATTCGATGATGAGAAACTAGTTTGGAGATGTTCAGCTAAGCGCACTTAAGCTCACAAGTTGATCACAAAAGCATTACAATAAGCTACAAGTCGTGTGAAAAAAAGTTTCATCCGAGCTCACCTGGCAATCAAAATGGTAAATTATACCACCTTTAAAGCAGCCAGAGAAAATCTGATACAGTGTAGAGGGAAAAGGCCAGAAGACAGAACAAAGCAGAGAAGGATCTCTTAGGCCACTAAACACAAATTTGCTGTCTGAACAGGCAGCAAAGAGAATGACCAAGTCATAAGACATGTCTGCATACAAACACATCTTTTTCTGCATATGCACACATCCTTTTTCATCCTCAAGCTTGACAAGACTACACTTGAGGAATTCCAGGCAGCTCTATAATAAAAAGTTAAAGAGAAAGGAATCTATAGAGAAAAAAAACATAACATTTGAGATCAGTATTGCTGCACTCAGAACAGAAAGTAGAAAAATATTTCCTAACGTCAAGATCTTAGACCACAGATTGATTATTTCAAATAAGGTCAGCAATCTTCCAGTGCAAGCAGAAAGGCCCTACTGACTAAGAAACGCAAAAATGAAGTAAAACCATAGAATACAATAAAACTAGTTTGAATGAGTATCCTCACAAGTCTTTGTGATTACTGCAGACTTGAGTCAGGCTGCTTTGCACAAATCAGGCAGAAATTAAGGTACATTACAAAAATCCCCTAAGCAGCAACTGAAACAGAAATATCAATAGCAGTCCAGCACTCCCCACACAGTTCCCAGTAACTTAAAAACCTGTACATTTACAGCTACTTCATCTGCCTGGTGGCCCAGTAATAACAGTGCTCACCAAAGTTTTTGACCTTTAATGATACCTTAGCTATGAAAAATCACAGAGAGGGGGAGGAGATGGAAGATTCAACAGGCCTAACAGAAACAAGGCTGCCCCCAAATGGCCCAGTCTTATAGTCATATACCTGATATATGAATTCATCAATGATATCCCAGAGCCACTGATTGGGCAATTCCAGAGGAGCAGGGCCATCAGCATCTGCATAAGAATGTAAGTAACAGATGAGAGGCGTAGTACCTTGAGCAAGAAGAGTGTCAGAATGGGAGGAATAAAAAAATTAAAGAACACAATAATTTCCCTGGAATGGGAGATGCAGCAGCAGATGAAAGAAGCTTCCAGTAGGGCAGTGATATGTAGCTTTGGTTACCACTACTACCTTCACTTTTAAAGAATAAGCTCATATAGGGTTAATCTCTGGAGCATGACTGCTTAGCAGCAATGACTCTCAGAATCTGTGCACCAATTCTGGATCTATTCTCCACAAGAAGTCTGTCAGGGAATCACAAACACTAAAATTTTGTTCCAAGGGGAATCAACAACAGTAACCAGTTGTGAAACACCACAGCAAGTTTTCTCTAGCTTACAGCTTCATTTTGCTTTTTAATAAAGATAAGTGAAGCAATTCTCAGCAAGGCAGAAAGCTAAATAAGTTTTATTATTTGGAATATTTCAGAAAAAACTGAAAACTATTTGGGCTTTTTGCGGTTTTAAATGCATAGATACAAAGTTCTCTTCATTCAACAAACTCAAACACATGGAAAGCTCATAGACTACCTCTCCCTATATAAACAAACACGTTCCAGCTCTTCTGACCCTTTCTCCAGCTCTGCCCTCTTCATCCACTCTCCCCCTCCAAAATTCACAAACCAGAAATGAACTGCAGGAACTCACTGAGGATGTAGTTGAAGAGATTGCAGTAGTTGTAATAGGATTCAAATCTCTGCTCCAGCGTAGGCCCCCCCTGCAATGAGAAGTCATTACAGTCTGTTTAGTTTCAAGCATGGCAGGAGTGACATGATGGGCAACAGTGTATGAAAGACAGTCAATGGTCACAGCAGTAGAGGGTCTATTTCAGAAATGTTAGAGACAATATTCAACCAGGATGCCCACCAGCACCACCCAGAAAACCTGAGATTGTATCACTATTGTCACAGAACATGGCTGACTTTTCATGTACAGGTAGCTCCTCCCAGGAACGAATGAGCATTCAAACCTTCCACGAATTGGATGCATGAACCTTCCTTGCCCTCTGCTGTCCAGACATAAAAGCTTCCTAATACCCTCAACAGCTTTCCTTCCTTCTCCCCTCATGAGAGGCCTTAATAAATCCACAATTCTGCTTCTGGACAGTATTTCTAAATGCTTTGGAAAGACCAGTAAACACAGCAGGGAATCATTCCCTGCCCATAGTAGGGGGGTTGGAACTAGATGATCTCTAAGGTCCTTTCCAGTCCTAACCATTCTATGATTTTATGATTGTTCCTAGAACCATCTTCCTTGTTTCACCTGGAGACACCTGAGGGCAATCTGAACACCACTAACAGCACAGCTTGAGAAACCAGTCTCACTTGTTAAAGCCTGACTCGGGTTAATACAGCAGCCTTTTTGAAGTCCCCACTTGTCCACCCTCTGGTCCACACCAAAACTGCAGTTATTACTTATTTACCCCATAAGTCATGCCTCTGTTCAGCTTCTTAAAGAACCAAGAACTACTAGGATTTTCTCACTGACTTAAATTAACTTAAGAAAAAAAAAAAAGTGGGGTTTATTTTGTTTTATAGAGTGTTATTCCTTCCTGTTCCTTCTCCTGTATCCTTTATGGTGCCCACATTTCCCTCCACACAAGGTGCTCTGACCCCATGTGGTTTTTTGATCACAAATAACACACCCCCTTCTTGTGACAACCCCTCTCACCCATCTGCTAATCTGAATAACAACCACAAGGAATCACATAAAACCAACTAATCCGTAGATCTTGCAATTATAGGTCTATCAAAAAGAAAATGCAATTACCTCCCAACACCTCCTTCTTTCCTAACTCACTATGCACTACATTTGATGTCAGTAACAAACTTTAACATAATAGCCTCCTGAAAACTTGCACCAGGTCTTCCGATTCATGTAAGCTGCCAGGGAAACGTGCACACTCATTACAACCAAGCTTAAGGAGGCACCTAATGAGCCTCAGAAAAACAGTCATGCCTTGCTCTTCACCAATCAGTGAATCCTTACTAAAGTAAAAAAAGGCGAGAATTTTAAGCTTCTCTAAAAGGAACTTGACTGACAGCTCAAAAACCTATCCAGTCCTGTTTTGCAAAAATCATGGAACTACTGATACTGTGGTAGCAGCAAGATTTGGCAAGCCTTATGGCACAGAGAAGCCAGCATACAACCAATAGGAAGACACAAGACAAACAATACTCACACTGACTTTGGCATAGATATGCCTATAATACAGCTCCTTGTATAGGATGAGGAAAACGGCATCTGGAAAAGATTATAAAACTGGACATTAGCAAGCCACCAGGCTTAGGCAACTGGATCTCTCAAATATGCCAGTGGCGTTCCTCCTGCCACAGTAAGAGAGGCACAAAAGGATACTTCCTTCAGTTCTGACTTCTTGACAGACATCTACTGAAGGAGTCGCTAGTGTGAACAAAGATGACTGACTCAGGTGGCTGCAACACTGTGCACCTGTTCACTCACATATCAAAAGTAATTTAATTCTTTTTCTCTCTGAGAAGCAAAAAGAAAGTAAAAGAAATACGTACCATTTCCAACCTGAGGGGCAATGGCCTCAGCCTCTGGCCACGGGGTATTCTTAAAAAACCTTTCTGTCAGCTTTGTCCAGCTGAAAGATGGACACACACATGTGTCATTAGAAACCATTTTCAGTATCAGAGCGCTGAAGTTAAAGATCACAATATAGAGGCCTTAGACCTGATGAAAGTAGAACACCACCACCATCTGCTTTTAGTAAGTCCAGTGCTGAAGCAAAGAATCAGAATGGCAAACCAAGCAATAAAAATCTTTACTTTATCCCTGAAATACGGAAGAGTTGTGTATCTTACTTGCACATTCCCCTTATGGTAACAAAGCTACAAACAGGAGTGAAAGCATCTGTAGGGAACAGACACAGCAATTACACCTCACAGCTTTCTGCAAACTGCCTACCTAGCATTACTTGAGATCACTTTTTGCTGTCTCCATACCTGTTAGGCACAGGACTGCTGTTTTCCTTCAGACAGGTCACAGCTCTAAACTTAGACTTATGTTAGACTAATGGCCTGGAACTATCTGGGTTTTTTTCCCCAGTGATCAATCACATCAAACCTTATGCTGCATACCAGAGCAAGCCAGGTTTGGAACAAGACAGCTAGTCAACCTTTCCTTTTAAGAGCAGTGTGCCCTTTCATCACAGTTTAACCAGCGATTCCCCCCTGTACCTGTTCTCATAGATGTCCTGGATCTCATACACCTTCTGGTCAATAACATCACTGGAAACACGGCTGGCCTGGAGCTCATACACCTTCTGGTCAATGAGATCCGACACTGTCTTGTGAAAATACTGAATGAAATTTTTGATCACCTCAGGGATCACCTGGTAGGTCTGCTGCTCGTACTGGCGCTCGTACGCCAGGTCTTGCTTCGGGTCCCCTGAGGAGAAAGAAG